TTACCGGGTCCCTGCTGCAGGAGGGTCAGGACACCACCCAGAGGCCTGACTCACCCCTCCTTTACCCTAAGTTCCTGAAGAGATCCCCATCGGGTTCACTGCAGCAGCAACTGTGAGTCACCGGCCAAGCTAGTTTGGGGCACAGACGAGCAAGGTAAAAAAAAAACCTGAGCAAGTAGGTTGCCTATGGTCACACTGAAGAATAAATATTGAGCAAAGCACTGTAATGCAGTTCGATGAACTGAAATGCAGACACAGGAGAGCTTTTCATTTGGAGTGGGGGTAAGCAGATACAGGCTAGCCTACCCAGTTTGTAAAGAAACCATATAGAGGCTCTTAAGCAGAAAAGGGCCCCCCTAGGACCTGATGTGACCACATGTTCTCAGTGTGCTGTATTTTCTTCGAATTCTGTATGTTATGCATCTAAAGACGTGATCCTAAGTTTGTTATGGTGGCTCACGTCTGTAACTGTAGTGCTCAGGATTTCGAGGCAGGAGGATTGCTATGAGTTTGAGGCCAGCTTGGGCTACATAGTGAGCTCCAGGCTGGCCTAGGCTATAAAGTGAGACCCTGTGTCAAAAAAAAAAAAATGAAATAAACAAAACCTCCAAACAAAAACAAATGCAAACAGCCCACAGGAACAATGAAATGCAGTTTTGAGAAGGTCCATAGACTTTTCCTGACTCACCAAATGGCCTGGGACACACAAAGAGTTTAAGACCCACATGGGTCAATGTGTGTACAACATAGGCCCAGAACCCCAGAGCCAGACAGCTTTGAGATATCCCATCAGAGGGGAACTGGCCACCCCTGCTTGCTGTAATGGCTTTTCTTGGGGCTCTCACTTCTTTTTTTAAATTTATTATGTATACAGTGTTCTGTCTGCATGTATGCTTGCATGCCAGAGGAGGGCACTAGATCACATTACAGATGGTTATGAACCACCGAGTGGTTGCTGGGAATTGAACTCAGGACCTCTGGAAGAGCAGTCAGTGCTCTTAACCACTGAGCCATCTCTCCAGCCCCCCCACCCCCCCCGGGGGGGGGGCTCTCACTTTTTAAGCAACCCAGAATCCCTAAGCCCATTAGTTTTCTTTTCTGAGCTAGGATCTTGTGTATCCTAGCCTGACCTCCAACAGCTTGTGTAGCTAAGGAAAGCCTTGAGCTAGTGATTGTCACCTTCCAAATGCTAGAACTGTAATCATGTGCCACTATGCCAGGCTTACAAGGTGCTGGGGACTGAACCCAGGATTTTGCCTGCCTGGCAAGCACTCCACTGAGTTAATCCCCAGCCCTCACTATCATTTTATCCTGGCAACATCCTCCACGGAAAAATACATTGTAATCCCGTGGATGAGAACAGAGCTCAGAAGGTTTTACAGTAAGTATCAAAGCTGCCTCAGGAGCCTGTGTTCTCAGGGCTAAAGTAAGGAGGCCCTCTCCTTCTCCTTTTACAGGATGCCAGTTCTTGCAATAGCACAGGTGGGCCAGGTATAGGGAAAGTTCGTGGGGGCGAATGTCTTCAGGAAAGGGAAAGGCCCTGAGAGGCGATGTCTTTTCAGGCACATTTTTGGGACCTGCTGAGGATGCCAGCCCAGGCTTAGCTAGAGTGGAGTGGAGGCTATGGGGTAGGAGGAGAGGATGGGACTACAGCATCAATGGCTGGCCTTCCCAGGTAGAGAGAGCCCCTCGGTTCATGCATCTGATTCCAGTCACACTTGCCCGTGGTAGTGTTCCCTCACCTACCCACCCCTGCCAGACGACTCCTGGCTTGTGGGGGGATGGCTCCTGCAAGATTAGAATTTAATGTTTGCTTGCCAGGTGTTGTCTCATCCTACCCCACAGCACCCTGCGTAGTGGGTGGTGTTTCCTCTCATTTTGCAAATGAAGAAACTGAGGCACCTCTGGCATGTGTCTTCACAATTTATGCCAGTGTCTAACATTGCCTCTGTGTGAGTGGGAAGTACTGGCAGAAGAGACATTTTACATCTAGATGAGTCCAGAGGTCTCCAGTCAATGGGAGGGACTGGGGGCATCCCTGCAGAAAACTGCCGATTACCTGTGCCAGAAAGTGTGGTCAGGCAGCATGTGACCTGAGCCGTGGGACCCGCACAGTAGAAAGGGATGCGGATTCCCCATCAGAAGCGCCACTGACAAGCACACACAGCAGTGACCACTCTCTCCCCTACCCGTCCCCTGGACCACTCTTCCTTCCCCATCTGGTTTGCAGTGTAGGCAGAATGTGCTTGATGGAGGTCACTGTGGAGGACAAGTGGGCCCACAAGTCCGTCAGCTTGGTCACAGTGCACATTCCAGTCCTGCAGGAAGGGCTCTACTGAGTCACACATTCAGGAGGCTGGTCCCAAACAGGATGAGCCAGGCTGGCCAAGCCTGTACGTTTATACTGATGTGCTGTGTCTTTCTCTATAGAGAAGATGTCAGGGCTGATCCAGGAAAAGAAATGGGACACGGGCACAGACACTGAGAGGCTAGAGCCTGTTACAACATGACCCAAAGCTGCTGTGGCGTCAGAGGCAACCAGAGGGTTCCGAGGGAAGCAGGCAGGGAAGAGGTACAGCCTGAGACATAGATATCCCTGCAATCCTCGGGGCCAACAACCTCTGTTCCCACAGTTCTGTCAGGAGCTGTAAGGCTACCTCTGGCCTCTGAAGAGAATGGGGGAGTAGTGGGAGGGGCAGGGACCTAGCCTGACAAGGTGGCTTTGAGAAACCCTAGCTTACTGGGCTCTGGCAACAAACTCTAGGTCAACTGACAAACACAAAATAGATTGGGGGGGGGGGCGGTGGTGGCGCACACCTTTAATCCCAGCACTCCGGAGGCAGATGCAGGCGGATCTCTGTGAGTTCAAGGCCAGCCTGGTCTACAAGAGCTAGTTCCAAGACAGCCTCCAAAGCCACAGAGAAACCTTTTCTCGAAAAACAAAACAAAATAATAATAAAAAACAGATCGGGCACGGCTTCAAGGCACATACCCAGGAGAAGTGGGGTGAATAACTGACACTGAGTGCAAAACTCTACAACCTAGCTGGTGAGATGTCTCAGGAGTGAAGGAGATTGCTGCCAAGCCCAGTGACCTGAGTGTGATCCCTAGAATCCACACCGTGGAAGGAGAGAACAGATTCCTGAAACTTGTCATCCCCCGACTCATCCCCGCTTCCAACACACACATTACATGTAATTTAATTTTAAAAACCCTACAAGCTCAAGGATACTTAAGAGTCAAGTGAGAAATACTGTTAAGCAGTGAACTGGTGTGAGAGGGCGCGTTTGCTGATCTAGCAGATGGCGCGAATAGACGCGAAGGAAAGCCTCCCCAAAGTGTGCGTGAGGGTCAATAGTTCCTCTCCCTTCTGAGACTTGCAGCAGGAGACTGGGCTTTCCTCTCCGCTAGAGTGACAGTCACAGCGAGAGGAGCTATCCCGGATGGGGAGAAACAAAGCCGGCTGGACAAAGGACCAAGCCTCGAGGCAGTTCTGAGACCAGGTCCACTCCTGCCAGCCAGGAGGGTCAGCAAACACTGTCGCGCTGCGGCTCCCAAGCCTGGCTGTTTTCCGTTCTAGGCAGCGAAGGCTGCCAGGCCGACCTCAGCCAAACTTGCACACCTCCTCCTCCTCCTCCTCCTCCTCGCCCCACCCCCTCACACCCGCATCTGCCACGCCCGCGCGGCCTGACGCGGTCCAGGCAAGCCTCTGAAGGGGCCGGGAGAACTCGGTGGTCCGAGGATGCTGGTCCCTTCCTTCCCGGACTCCACCGGTGCCGTCTGCACCGAGGAGCCCCGCCTTTTATGAACAGGATCGGGGGAACCCCCGAGACAAGTCTGCACTGCTCCCCGATCTCTTGGGCCAAATTTGGGGAAAGTCTGGA